ATAGAATAGCCCTTTATTTTTATTTTTTAGCCAGAATTCAGTTACACTCCTAGACAAAGAGGTTGTAGTAAAGCTCTGATTGTCGCTCCTTTGTTTTGTTTGCAAGGGATATGGTGTTGATGATAGATGGAAGCGGGTTCTTGTTTTCGCAGCTGGAAGCGATAGTCAGTCCTGCATTTTATTTTTTCTCCCTGCACCGTCTGCGTCACTTGCTGTTCCAGACAATTACCCATGGTGCACCCAGTGGTCTCGCAATCTTGGGTAGGATACTGTTGATCCAACTTGAAGTAAAGTCCGGGTTCAGGCTAAGGCTGATGTTTATCAGTTTCTGATGATCAGTGCACTTCAGGAAGATACAACAAAAAGGAAACAAAAACACAAAAAGTGCACAGTAATTAGAAGCGCTGTGGTGCATCCGTACATCCGTATGCAGCGTCATCTCATCTTCATATCCATTGTGATTAGAGCAGAGCGATATGACCAAAAATATTTATACATTAAAGTTATATAAACTTTAACAGTGCAAATGCAAATTTCTCGCTGACAGTTCAACCAAAAGGCATTTCCAGTGGAAACTGGCCGACATATCCTCAGCATAACCATGTATAATATCCACAACACTTAAAAAGAGGTTATACACACACAATACGGTAATATTATGCTGAAGCACAGTACGTATCACTCTGTGAGGCTCCTGCCTGCGATAGCCGTAATGCTCCGACAATCCATCAAGCGGTGCGGGTTCGTAGCTTAGAAAAAGTCGTACTAAAACATTTGACAGATTTTCGAGCGCCGTGTACATAAAATCGTTTCGAGGTCAGTAAACACAACCAGAGTTCATACATAAGTCACACGGGATTATAAGGGGATCTGTCGACTTTCAGAAAAATCAAAGGATTGATTTTAAGTGCCGTATTTTCCAAAAAACATGGTAATAATGACGGCCTGCTAGCATGCGCTACCAAAAATAGTGCTTTGTTGTGTATCTGATGGACAAAAGCCAAACCAGTTCCACACCACTGAAGTTGCAGCATTTTTACAAACCAGTTCTGGTTCATCTGTTTCATTCAACGATCCGCTTTCGCCCTTCTTATTCTCCGTCGCTGCCATGCATTTTCCGCCATGTGCGTATGAAAACAAAGGCACTGCGCATGTGCATTTTACCCAAATTCTATTGCGATATTTCATTTTCTTATTATTGCCCAACATTATACCGGTATTACTGTGAACGGTATGATATAGCCCAGCCCTAATGGTGATGAGAAACTGCTTCACAACATCCAACAAAGTGAATATAGTGGATATCCAAGTCTACCATAAAAAGAAGACTGCAGGAAAGGAAATACAAAAGGTTCACTGAAAGTTGCAAGCCACTCATAAGCCTAAAACATAGATAGAATAGACTGCACTTCCAAAAAAAAGCTGAAACAATGAAACAGCTCTTCAGTGTCATTTTTATTCATTGTGGCAATGTACAGAACTAAATCCCTCCAGCCCATGGAGGAATACATTAGCTACATATTAAGACTTTGTCAGATATTTTCTCTGCTGGTCACATATTGCATACCTCAGCCCTGACGTGGGTCATGAAGAGTTAGAAGTCCCTGGGCTTTTTGCGTGAGAACCTGTATTCAGGGACAAATACTAAGGTCAGAGAGCCATGGGATCTCATTTTAGGGTGAGTATAGGGTCATTTGATCCTTACAACCATTGCAAGAGCTTGGTCCATGGCAATAAGTTGGACTTATTCCCGGTGGGTGTTGGACTCCACCAGAGATGGACTTTGTCACCGATTGTGTTCATGATTGTGTTCATGGGGCAGGGATAGCTCAGTAGGTAAAGTGGTCGCCCCATGATCGGAAGGTCGGCGGTTCGAATCCACTTAACGGCTACCCTGAGGTACCCCTGAGCAAGGTACCGTCCCTACACACTGCTTCCCGGGCGCCTGCTTAGTGGGCTGCCCACTGCTTCACTGAGTGAATGGGTCAAATGCAGAGAAAAAACAAGTAATTTCCCCATGGGGATCAATAAACTATCCATTATTATTATTATTATTATGGACAGAATTTCTAGGCATAGCCAAGTGGCAGAAAGTGTCTATTTGATCTCAGAAACTTGTCACAACTCAAAGCACCTCCAAGTTCAAGGCCATGGTCCTCAGCTGGAAAAGGGTGGAGTGCTTGCTCCTGGGAGAGGTGTTCCTGGCAGGTCCCACAAGGAGGAGACCCCTGGGGCAGACTCAGGACACACTGAAAGGTTATATCTTTTGACTTGCCTGGGAACACCTCGGTGTTCCCCTGGAAAAGCCGGAGGAGGTAGCTGGGGAGAGGGAGGCCTGGGTGTCCTTGTTTCTCTATCCAAATTTGAACTTCCTACAATTATTCAGCTATCTTCCATAATTACTAAGTTAAAGTCATCATCATGTCTTTTGGATAAAAGAACAAGCTGATGCTATGGTGCTCTGAAATTTATTCCACTGCTTCATCCAAAGCAACAAGGCAGACAAAGTTTTTATATGATTTAGCATTATAGAAATGAATTCTAAAATGCTAAACGCCTATATACATTTGAATTATTATTGCAAAGTTTGCATTGCATGACTAAGTGTAATTGATTCATACTTTATGCATATTGTGGTCCCTGTATATTGCGTCTTGTATAAGGATTGTACACCAGCCCATTGTCAAAGGGAAAACTACAGAATCCTGATTATAGTTAGCTGGTTTTATCTTTATCTATATTAAAGGAAATTGAAACCTGAACAGTCCAAGCTATATCTAACAGTGAAAGCACCAAGCAACCGTGGGTTCTCCCTGGAAATGCCTCATATTAGACTGCATTCCTTATGTGAAGCATTTGTAATGCAGTCATAAAGTTATGCACAGATCATGGTCAGACCTTCTGAGAGATGGAGTAATATAAATATCTGAGATCAGCTGAAGTGGACTCACTGCTCTACATCTAGTTACAGCTTGCCACTTCCACTGGAGAGTAGTCATGGAGGCAGGTTAAATGAATAAAGGCAAACCTGTAATCACTGATAAAAAATAAAGATAAAAAAAGAGTAGAAGAAACACACAACCTCCTAAGTAAAACAAAACAGGAAGACAGACCAGAAGTAGAAAGACCAATAGAAGAACAATATGGCCAAATTTACTAACAACATCAAACCCTATTTTGGTGTTTAAAAGGCCAATTTTGCCCACAGTAAACAGTGTCTGAAATGAATGGACAATGGAGTTGCGGTGGAGGTGTGTTCTGAGGGGAGGTGCAGCGGGCTTGAGGGACAGTGCCAGGGAGGCTGTTAGGGCAGCTGACAGCACTTAAGTAATTGCGGTCATGCTACTTCAGTGACGCCGAAGAGGAGAGGGAAGTGTAGGATGTGACAGCTCGAAAGCTGCGGCAAAGCACAACACACAATAAAAGAGTTCTCACAGCTGCTGTGTGTGTTCTGGGTCCTAACTGTTCACAGTGGTGCCGCAAGATGTCTGATCCACAGACTGTGCAGCCAGTGCATGCCCTGGCTCAGTTGTTGGCAGAGCTGGGGGCTATGCACCGGGAGCAGGGAGCGGCCCAGTGCAAGCAGCTAGAGGTGCTGCATGACTAGGCTGAGCGGCAGACACAAGTGTTCGAAAACCTGGTCGCTCTGGTGCCTCTTCTCCGCTGTTTTCGCACAGGATGACCAAAGGGGGGTGATCCACAATCCTTTCTGGAGGTTCTCAAGGTCACAACTGCAATCACCCTGTCGTCGATGTTGAGGTGTGACTTAAATGGTGTTTGCAAGGCTATCCCAGACCAGGCGGGTCTGTTCCTGGAGGTCCAGCAGCGCCGGGGGGGTTATATGGTGGTGCAAAACCGACCCTTTGCTTATCCCCAATTGCTGTGGGATGGAGTGATTGCAGCCTGGCCTTTCACCGGGAGAAGCACAGCTGCTCGACCTGATCATGCTGGAGCACTTTATAGATGGGGGTGGGGTGGGAGGCAACGCCAAATTCTGGCCCAGAGGAAAAGGCTTCCCAGCAGTCTCCCAACACCTCCGGCCACTGAGGAGTGCCTGCGATGTAATACTAATCCATTCCTCTCTGCTGCCTCTCCCCAGGTCCCGGCGGCTTCGGGCATTGCACCTGACTCACTGATGGTTGTACAGATGTCAGGGCATGAGTGTTGATGGTACGGGACACCTCCTCCATGAGTGTCTGTTACTGGAGGTGGGTCAGGTGTTCTGCGTCGCCGGGCCCCCAATACCTTCCCTCAGTCCAAAAGGGATGGCTTTGTTCTGTTCAGGTGCCTGGGGGGGTACACGTCAGGCTATGGTGGACTTGGGCTGTATGCAGACCCTGGTCCACCAAACTAGTGCAGAGTTACTCACCAACTAACAAGGACCCTTTGTGGTCACACGGCGAGTGGGTAATGTTGAGTATGAAGTGGCGCAGTCAGACAGGGGAGGAGCCACAAAGGGGGTATCAGCTTAACCTCCTAAAAAGCGTGGAGAGATGGTGATGCCAAATTCCACCATTCCCACCTCTACCACCATCTTACATAGGCCCAGAGAGCAGATTTTCTATGGTTTGTGACATGCCATTATTTCTTGTAGTTTGTCAGGATTTTTAATATATTTGGAATGAAAGGGGGAAGGTTTATCACAACAAGTGGTAGATGTCTCAAAGTTGTGAGCACAGTGTTAGGCTCACTCCTGTAATACTACACTGAGTCTTCAATCTGCAGAACTGAACTGAACTGAACCTGGAGTGTCAGAGTGAAGGAGGAAAATCCTGACATAGGCATCCAGACACAAGTATGTGTCTTGCTTTAGAAGCAGCCAAATTAGTTTTTACAATGCGCGATGGGTTTGCAGTGTCACACAACTATTAATGGGATTGTGTTAGAGTAATGTCTAAATTACACAATTTGTATTACTGATATTAACTAGTACCTATAGGCTCTCATATGCACCTGTATATCCGTGAAATCCTCAGGTAGAGGTTTTTTGTCTGTTCCAGGGGTCCACCTGAAAACTAAAAGGGACAGAGCCCCGAGGCTCTGGAACGACCTGCCCAAGGAAATCAGGTCGGTGGAGTCAGTGACTTTCTCCAAGTCATATCTTAAAGCACACTTTTATGATAACAAAGATTTTGATTTGCTTTGAATTGTCTTTTTATTTCCTGTATTTGATACTTTTGCTTTTTTAAGCAGTTTGTACTGTGCTTTCTATATAGAAAGAAACACGTAAACATACAGAAAAGAAAAAACTGATTTAGTGACTTGGTAGGCAGAGATTAGGATCTCTATTCAGTTCAGTTCAATTAATTTTTATTTATATATTTTACCAAATAGTCACCTTGAGACACTTTACATTGTGAGGTAAAGAGCTTACAATAATACAGTCTGACACGTCACACAAAAAGAATAAGTGTATAAGTGTACATAGTGTGCATAATTTGTTTGTCATAATCAAGTTACACTGAGCAAAGATGGAAAGAGAAAGTAAAGGGGATTCGCTCTCTTGGCACCAAGAGTTAGTGCTGTGTCATAAAAACTTTGGCTTGGATACTTAGCTGTAGAAGATTTTATCAGTGTTATTGTAGGGTCTTTACCTTATAATATGAAGCGCATTGAGGGCACTTTTGTTGTGATTAATAAATATTAATATAGATCAAATGAAATGCCTTGAATATCCCATTCTTTTGAAAGCTTTCACTCATGAACCTCTTCACCCATTAAAATATAAAACATTAAAGTGAAAAATAGATGGATACATTTTATACTGTAATCACCATAAATGAAGAACAGTGAACAGTTCTTCATTCATCCATTTCAATCTAATCTAATAAATAGATACAATATACAGAAAAAAATATTCTTGTGTATTAATTTCCACATGTGGATGTTATTTCTGAGACTGGTGGAAAATGGAAAATGTTCAGACTTCTATTTGAATTGTGAGAATGACTTACAGTTTTCGAGTACTTACACAAGTGGAGGAGTTCAAGTATCTCGGGGTGTTGTTCACTAGTGACGTTAGAAGGGAGCAGGAGATCAACAGACAGACTGGTGCTGTGGCTGCAGTGATGTAGACACTGCACCGGCCTGTTGTAAAAGCGAAACATCTCAACTTACCGGTCGAGCTACATCCCTACCCTCACCTATGGTCACGAGCTATGGGTAGTGACCGAAAAAACTATGAATTCTTATATAATTGTAACCCACATAATAGCAACTATAATCCACATAATTCCCTTAGGGTTTAATAAAGTATGATGATTCTGAAGAAAGAGATTGCGGCTACAAGCGGCATTTTTAAGTTACTCTTTGTTATAAATTCAACATCACCTCACAAAGTTGGCAGATGCCTTAACACCAATTTTAATAACATACTCTGAAATGCATACTTTAAAAAACTGGATTGTAACAGTAATTTAAGAATCAGACAAATCTTTTGTGGCATTCAATAAGAACGTTTTAGAGACAGGTAGAGATGAGGGGGGCTGCTTGTCAACAGATGTGTAAAAATCACAGTCATATTGAGGATATTTGGGCCAGGATTTGGAAGTCACTGCCCTTTTGTGGGGATCGGAGAGCTGTTTGAATGGTCACCTAATGTGTGACAAAAGAATCTCCTGTGATGCTAATAACAGTCTGTGCACTCTTACCTTTGGTCTTAAAATTACTGCAGCGATTTACCAGAGATGTCCAGAGGGCAGAGTAAAAAAAAAAAAAAAAAAAAAAAAAAAAAAAAAAAAAAATACAGGTGTGTAAACATACACGGCAGACCCAGTGGCATTTTAATGCTTTTTATTAAAGCTTTGACGGTTGCTGTCCACAATACTCACAGAGCTGCAGCTCTCCCGCTGCCCGCTCAACACTATCACAACAACACAACCACAGGACCCAGTACAATATTTAATTCGGTGGGGCGTGATTGCGGATGCCGTGCAGGTGCGTCCACCTCCTCTGCACGGCACCGCAGGCCACGCCCCGCTACATACCCCCATCGCCCGACTGAGGCCGGGGAACCATCCGGCCGAACGTACTCCCCCCCCACCGCGAGCGGGAGAGGGGATCCGCTCGAACCATCGGCGCCCCCGGGCCCTGGCCAAGCGACGGGGAGTTGTGAGTTCAAGTGGCTGCCCGCGAACCCAGCAGCTTCGGCGAAGCTGGTCCAGAGGTCAGCCACGTGGCAGGTGGACGCGGCGCGGTCGGTACGGTCGTGCGCCCCGGCTCGCAGGCAGCTGGGCAGATGTCCGGCAGGCACCGGCCTCTGGTGGAGGTGAGGCCGCTCTGCTCACCCTGCTAACCTCGGGCTTCGGTGGCGCGGACTCCCTTAGCACGGGCACCACCGACTTATCCCGCGGCTTCTCCGCCCCTCCCGGTGGGAGCAGCTCACGTTCCCCTCGCTGCGCCTCCGCCGCTGCCCCTACCGGCTGGAGCGGCTCCTCGGGCGCCGCCATCGCCGCTGCCCTACCGGCTGGAGCGGCTCCTCGGGCGCCGCCATCGCCGCTGCCCCTACCGGCTGGAGCGGCTCCTCGGGCGCCGCCATCGCCGCTGCCCCTACCGGCTGGAGCGGCTCCTCGGGCGCCGCCATCGCCGCTGCCCCTACCGGCTGGAGCGGCTCCTCGGGCGCCGCCATCGCCGCTGCCCCTACCGGCTGGAGCGGCTCCTCGGGCGCCGCCATCGCCGCTGCCCCTACCGGCTGGAGCGGCTCCTCGGGCGCCGCCATCGCCGCTGCCCCTACCGGCTGGAGCGGCTCCTCGGGCGCCGCCATCGCCGCTGTCCCTACCGGCTGGAGCGGCTCCTCGGGCGCCGCCATCGCCGCTGTCTCTCCCGGCTGGAGCGGCTCCTCGGGCGCCGCCTCCACCGCTGCCGGCTCCGCCGCCTTCTTCCGGGGCGCAGGAACGGGCACCGGGCCCTGCAGAGCCCCAGCGGCTCCTACGCGAGGTGTGGGGACAGGCGCTGTGGCAGGCTGCGTGCTAGCTGGTCGCAACCTGGGGGCCGGCACTGGCGCCTGCACGGACTGGATCTCCTCCACTCCAGCGCCATTGGGGAGCGCCGGTGGGGGTGGTGGTGGTGTCGGGCAGGACCGGATCAGCGCCGCCAGATTCTCCATTCTCTGCAGATGGCGTTCAGTCTGGTCCTGCAGCTCTTCCCGCCTGCGGCGCCACACCGCCGCCTGCTCCTGCTGCGTGGCCGCCAGCTCGGCCACCATTCTCGCCAGCTCCTCCCTCTGCTGGCCCACTCCTGGATCTGCCGTGCCTCCCGTCCTGGGTTTCGGCACCACTGTAAACATACACGGCAGACCCAGTGGCATTTTGATGCTTTTTATTAAAGCTTTGACGGTTGCTGTCCACAATACTCACAGAGCTGCAGCTCTCCCGCTGCCCGCTCAACACTATCACAACCACAGGACCCAGTACAATATTTAATTCGGCGGGGCATGATTGCGGATGCCGTGCAGGTGCGTCCGCCTCCTCTGCACGGCACCGCAGGCCACGCCCCGCCACAAGGTGATTCACAGCAGGCAATTTACTGCATTTTAAAATTATGCAATATATAAATTACTGGTAAAACTACTGTTAAGACATTTAATTTTAAGATAGCTACATAATATATTTAATAAATTGTGTTATTAAAGAGTTTACTGTTTGCAGAGTCATTTATTAATAACTATTAATTCTCTTTCCTGTCAGCACATAGAGTTGTTGTACTTACACCTATCTAAATAACTAAATAGATACTGTAGATTGGACATTTGTGGGACATGTACGAGTTGGAATGTCCATATATGTCCCTTTTTAAAGCGCAGAATTTTTTCCAGAGTGCTGAAACAAATCACAAAAGTGATATTCTAAGATTAGCAGCAGACAACCTAAATAAGCAGACATAACTGATGTTGCCAATAATGGTGAGGGTTACCAATAGGGTCACTGACCTTGTTAATCACCTGAAATGTTTAAAATAAAGTTTCACATATTTCTGTAAAAAATACACACACATTGTTGCATAATTGGAGAGCATTTCAATTTCAGTTTTTGCATTTTGTATAAGAATACTGGCAGTGCAGTTATAATAACCACATTCTGTAGGTGAGAGTAACTTCCAGTGTTTTTGCTTTCTTTTCTGTCAGCAATAATCACAGTGTGCAAGCATCACTTTCTGTCTTCTGTCTTGCTTATTAAATGTGCACAACATCCAGTTTATTTGCTGCAGGCAAATATCTAAATCACTATTATATAGAAAGGCACAACACTATGATTCTGTTATAATTATAGAATCCCTGAACAAAGGTCTGCCTGTAAATGAATGCGCATTCACACCGTTCCCAATGGTGAATACACAAGACATCCATCCATCCATCTTAATCCGCTTATCCAGGGCAGGGTTGTGGGGGCAGCAGCCTAAACAGAGAATCCTAGACCTCCCTCTCCCCAGCCACCTCCTCCAGCTTGTCTGGGGGAACACCAAGGCGTTCCCAGGCCAGAGAGATATAATCTTTCCAGCATGTCCTGGTTCTGCCCCGGGGCCTCCCCCCGGTGGGACATACTCAGAACACCTCACCCAGGAGGCTCCCAGGAGGCATCCTTGTCAAGGCAAGGCAAGGCAAGGCAAGTTTATTTGTATAGCACAATTCAACAACAAGGTGATTCAAAGTGCTTTACAGAGACATTAGAAACAAGAACAAATAAAAAGCATGATTTAAAATTGAATAAAACAAGCAAATAAACTAACTAACTAATTAACAAACAAACAAACAACAGTATATAAAATCAAAACAGATAAAATCAGAACAGTAGATAAAATCAGTAGTTAAATGTAAGTTTTGAAATTTAAGCTTAAAGTGTGGATTTGGTGCTTTATTCAAATGCAGCTGAGAACAGGTGAGTCTTCAACCTGGATTTAAATAAACTGAGTGTTTCAGCTGATCTGAGGCTTTCTGGGAGTTTGTTCCAGATATAAGGAGCATAAAAGCTGAATGCAGCTTCTCCGTGTCTGGTTCTGACTCTGGGAACTGATAAAAGACCGGATCCAGATGACCTGAGGGATCTGGATGGTTCATACTGGGTCAGGAGGTC